TTCGTAATATAGGATTGATGTAGATGTCTATGGTCTGAAGCAACCACTTACCATCAAGTGGTCTGTGTGCTCGCTTGTCACCCTTATTCTATAAAAAAAATGTCATCTACATTAGATGACGCTTTACAAACACATACTCGTATATTAATAACTTTAATTTAAAAACCCCGAAGTAGACATGTGTAAATCACTCATTACTAGCGACCGAATCATTCTAGTACATTTCGTCACGCGTACTGGTACATTCGGATCGATCATTCAAATGGATCATTTCAGGCTCCAGTACTCTGTGAGTCTGTGAGATCCATTGAGAACCGAAAATTTTGTATTTGAGATTTGTAATAGCGCCATCTACTACATGTTATAGGTACTAAAGTCATTTTATCGAACTAAAACTTATTAACTTTCAAGGTGGTAAGAACAATCGACGCTAGATGACGTAAACACAAAAACCTCAAGTTATCGTATATTTTAATTTAATAAATTTGTTTATTCTTAAATTTCATTCCTAATAATCTAACAATACACAATTTCATCTTACTTTACATGTCTAAAAATAGGGACTGTAACATTTATTTGCTACGAAATTAAACTTTTACCTAACTTATATAAGATGGTTGAAAATTATCTTTAAATAAATCATTTATCATGAAATCTTTTGAAGTGTTATTTTTAGTAAACTCTAAGGAATTATATTTTTAACTCATAGATTTAACAAATAAATATAAGAAAACGTAAAGTAGTTTTTAATTTAGGCAACAATATTATACCATAATGATTTCTTAAATTTACGCGAACACTACGTTCACATTGAATAAAACTATTATTTACGGATTTTTTTTCCGCGTTTAATTACTTTAATTTATTTTTATTATTATCCCGACGTTTCGGGTGCTTTACAGCGCCCATGGTCACGGGGGGGACTGAGATGTTTGACGTCCCAATGTCATAGTTAGTCCGGCTACCTTCAGTTTTTTAATATTAATTTTTGGTCCGATTTACGCAAAACGAGCTTATAGTATCATGAAGTCTTGCAGTGGTATGCTTGGGTTTGGGTTTAATTTTGTTAATTATAGGATCCCAAGCAGATGGTAGCACCCAACCATCTTCTCTATTGAAATTTGGATGTTTTTTAATTTCAATAGTCTCGCGTATCATCCTTGGTAGGAATCGGTGTTCTTTTGCGAGAATTTGTGGTTTATCAAATCTAATGTAATGGTGGGGACGATCTTGAACATGTTCGCAGACTGCAGACTTCCCGGAGCGTCGGTGCTTCACATCAGCTATATGTTCCTTCACGCGGGTTTTTATAGATCTCTTTGTTTGACCTATGTAAGAGAGACCACATTCACAATCTAGCTTGTACACACCTGCATCTTGTAGAGGAATATTACATTTGATGGATGGTAAAAATTGACTAATCTTCTTCAGCGGCTTGTAGTATGTCTTAATGGACGCTCGCTTCAAGATGTAGCCAATCTTGTCCGTGACTCCTCTAACATATGGTAGTAGAGCAGGCGCGCGCTCGACTGTGGCCGGCTTCACTCGTTCACTGTGACGTAGGCGCGGGACCCGAAGCTTGTTGTCTTGCAATACTTGCTTGACGTGCTGAAGCTCCGCGGCCAGATGTTTTCTGTCACAGATCCCTCGTGCTCTCTGAAACAAAGATTTACCCACGGTAGCTAACTGTGAAGGATGATGGTGAGATTCACCATTTAAATATCGGTTGGTATGGGTCTTTTTCCTATACACAGTGTGACCAATAGTGTTATCAGGATTTCGGATGACCAAAACATCTAGGAAAGCTAAAGAATTATTTGCCTCTAACTCCATTGTGAATTGTATTTTAGAGTTTATGGAGTTAAGGTGGTCTAAAAATGCAGTTACTTTGTCAGATGGTAAAATTGTGAAAGTGTCGTCTACGTACCGCTTGTAGAACCTTGGATTTACAGGAGCAGTAAGAAGGGCTTTCTCCTCAAAGTCCTCCATGAATATGTCGGCGACTATGGGAGACACAGGTGAGCCCATCGCCACACCATCTACTTGCTTGTAGAACTCTTCCTTCCACAATAGATAGCCAGATGTGAGGCAATGTTCAAGTAGTATTGCATATTCTTGAGGCATGTTATTTTCTTCTAGCTTCCTAGTTACAATTGAGATGCAGTCCACAATAGGTAGGCATGTAAATAGTGACTGAACATCAAAACTGACCATAGTTTCATTGTTAGCGAGATGTAGGTCTTTTATCTCACTCACAAAATGGTATGAATCCTTTGTGTGTGCTCTGGTATGTCCTCTTAGTGGTGATAGTATTTTTGCTAAGTATTGTGCCAGCTTATAAGTTGGTGAATCGATCTGGCTCACTATGGGACGTAGTGGAGCGTTTGGTTTGTGTATCTTCGGTAACCCATACAACCTCGGTGGTTTGGCACATGATGGTATAGGAATTAGTCGAGATTTATTTTCGGAGTATTTCTTTATTATCGCTGTTGTTTTAAGCGTGTTAGTTGTAGGGTTGTTTTGATTGTCTTTCGTCCGATAAAGTTGTTGTATTTTGAAATTATATTGTACGGTAGTAATGGGCGTCGGAATATAATTTCAAAATACAACAACTTTTATCGGACGAAAGTACATATAAAAAGGTCAAAACAGACCCTACAACTAACACGCTTAAAACAACTAGCGATTTAATAAAGAAATACTCCGAAAAATTAAATCTCGACGTGAATTCGCTAATACCATCATGTGCCAAACCACCGAGGTTGTATGGGTTACCGAAGATACACAAACCAAACGCTCCACTACGTCCCATAGTGAGCCAGATCGATTCACCAACTTATAAGCTGGCACAATACTTAGCAAAAAATACTATCACCACTAAGAGGACATACCAGAGCACACACAAAGGATTCATACCATTTTGTGAGTGAGATAAAAGACCTACATCTCGCTAACAATGAAACTATGGTCAGTTTTGATGTTCAGTCACTATTTACATGCCTACCTATTGTGGACTGCATCTCAATTGTAACTAGGAAGCTAGAAGAAAATAACATGCCTCAAGAATATGCAATACTACTTGAACATTGCCTCACATCTGGCTATCTATTGTGGAAGGAAGAGTTCTACAAGCAAGTAGATGGTGTGGCGATGGGCTCACCTGTGTCTCCCATAGTCGCCGACATATTCATGGAGGACTTTGAGGAGAAAGCCCTTCTTACTGCTCCTGTAAATCCAAGGTTCTACAAGCGGTACGTAGACGACACTTTCACAATTTTACCATCTGACAAAGTAACTGCATTTTTAGACCACCTTAACTCCATAAACTCTAAAATACAATTCACAGTGGAGTTAGAGGCAAATAATTCTTTAGCTTTCCTAGATGTTTTGGTCATCCGAAATCCTGATAACACTATTGGTCACACTGTGTATAGGAAAAAGACCCATACCAACCGATATTTAAATGGTGAATCTCACCATCATCCTTCACAGTTAGCTACCGTGGGTAAATCTTTGTTTCAGAGAGCACGAGAGATCTGTGACAGAAAACATCTGGCCGCGGAGCTTCAGCACGTCAAGCAAGTATTGCAAGACAACAAGCTTCGGGTCCCGCGCCTACGTCACAGTGAACGAGTGAAGCCGGCCACAGTCGAGCGCGCGCCTGCTCTACTACCATATGTTAGAGGAGTCACGGACAAGATTGGCTACATCTTGAAGCGAGCGTCCATTAAGACATACTACAAGCCGCTGAAGAAGATTAGTCAATTTTTACCATCCATCAAATGTAATATTCCTCTACAAGATGCAGGTGTGTACAAGCTAGATTGTGAATGTGGTCTCTCTTACATAGGTCAAACAAAGAGATCTATAAAAACCCGCGTGAAGGAACATATAGCTGATGTGAAGCACCGACGCTCCGGGAAGTCTGCAGTCTGCGAACATGTTCAAGATCGTCCCCACCATTACATTAGATTTGATAAACCACAAATTCTCGCAAAAGAACACCGATTCCTACCAAGGATGATACGCGAGGCTATTGAAATTAAAAAACATCCAAATTTCAATAGAGAAGATGGTTGGGTGCTACCATCTGCTTGGGATCCTATAATTAACAAAATTAAACCCAAACCCAAGCATACCACTGCAAGACTTCATGATACTATAAGCTCGTTTTGCGTAAATCGGACCAAAAATTAATATTAAAAAACTGAAGGTAGCCGGACTAACTATGACATTGGGACGTCAAACATCTCAGTCCCCCCCCGTGACCATGGGCGCTGTAAAGCACCCGAAACGTCGGGATAATAATAAAAATAAATTAAAGTAATTAAACGCGAAAAAAAAATCCGTAAATAATAGTTTTATTCAATGAACAATATTATAATAAAAAACCCTTAAATAATAAATACTCCTAATGATTTCTTAAATTTACGCGAACACTACACATTGAATAAAACTATTTTATTCAATAAATACTCCTGTTACTCTGCAGTTTCCGTATATATTCTCCGCTAGGAGTAATGGTGTTCTGTGTATATATTACTCTACTCAACTCCATGCTCTGCAGTCTACATTGTTAATTCAATTCGCCTGTTTATTCAGATTATTCGGGATTCGGTCGGTTTGCAGCTCATTCACAATTCATACAAATCGCGGGTTAAAAACGTACTGTCAATTGTTTGTGATTGGTTGTACTGGTATATTCAAAAACAAATGAATGAACCATCAATACTTTTAAGTGTACCAGTTCAAACGAACGAATCATGCATGATTGACACATGTCTACCCCGAAACAAAAAGAGCTGTTACGACTGGACAGAATTTCTTGAAATACACCTAAGAACACTCTCGACTAAGACACCTTTCAAATGTCTCGTATGTCACCCTTATCCTATTGAAAAAAATCCTTGTGTCACCTCTTACAAAATTCATAAGACTATATGGGGGTAGTGGGTATTCTTATATCGCAACAAGAAGGATCAGTAATTATTGTTACTTACCATTAAGGCCATTCTCCTTGATAATCGCTGAAGGTGGTTTATCATCAGGTATGGGAGGATCTTCCTCATCGGAGCTGTCGAGTCTCTGCAGTTTCTTGGCCACTTCGATGTGCTGGCGGCCATACTGAAAAAAATATTGGTTTTCTTTAAAAAAAACTTTCCTCATAAAATATGAACATTTGGTTGTTTAACTTTTGGGTTAACTTTTTTCAGGAGGGGAAATGTTGAGATTTAAGACGTCATCATCATCATCATCATCATCACAGCCCTTCACAAGTCCACTGCTGAACATAGGCCTCCCCCAAGTAATGCCACAAAGCACGGTCCTGAGCCACCTGCATCCATCGACTTCCTGCATATCTTACCAGGTCGTCACTCCATCTAGTGGGGGGTCGCCCTACACTACGCCTACCGGTACGAGGCTGCCACTCGAGAACCTTTCTTCCCCATCGGTTATCGGTTCTTCGAGCTATATGGCCGGCCCATTGCCACTTCAGCTTACTAATCCGTTGGGCTATGTCGGTCACTCTGGTTTTACTGCGGATATCCTCATTACTGAGTCTATCACGCAGAGAAACTCCGAGCATAGCCCTCTCCATAGCTCGCTGAGCGACCTTGAGCGTCCTCATACGGCCAGCAGTGAAGGACCACGTCTCTGATCCGTAAGTCATCACTGGCAACACGCACTGGTTGTACACTTTAGTTTTCAGAGATTGAGGTATACCTGACGAGAAGATATGTCGTAATTTCCCGAACGCTGCCCAGCCGAGTTGAATCCGTCGATTGACCTCTCGGTCGAAGTTGGACTTACCTAGTCGGAATATTTGTCCCAGGTAAACGTACTCGTCAACAACTTCGAGCATAGTGCTCCCAACAACTACCGGCATAGGTGTGACATGGACATTAAACATAATCTTTGTTTTGTCCATGTTCATCTTAAGACCTATCCGTTGGGAGGCACTATTGAGGTCATTGAGCATAGTGCTTAAGTCCTCCAGCGATTCTGCCATAAGGACTATATCGTCGGCAAATCGAAGGTGAGTGATGTACTCGCCATTGATGTTAATACCGTATCCTTTCCAGTCCAGTAGCTTGAAAACGTCTTCCAAAGCAGCGGTGAAGAGTTTCGGGGATATAACGTCACCCTGTCTTACACCTCTCTGCAGTTGGATAGGTTTCGAGCTCTGATTCTGTACTCGGATAGCCATCGTAGCCCTACTGTACAAACACTTCAGCACTTCGATATACCGACAGTCAACTTGGCACCGCTGAAGGGACTGCAGCACCGCCCAAATTTCGACGGAATCAAAGGCTTTCTCATAGTCCACATACGCCAGGCAAAGTGGCAAATTGTACTCTTCAGTCTTCTGTACAATCTGCCGCAGGGTATGTATGTGGTCTATGGTACTGAAGCCTTTTCGGAAACCGGCTTGTTCGGGAGGCTGGAAGTCGTCGAGTCTGCGTGCGAGACGATTCGTAATGACTCGAAAACAGCACGTAGACGCGGCTCAGAAGGGAAATCGGTCTGTAGTTCTTCAAGAGAGCGTTGTCGCCTTTCTTAAAGAACAAGACCACCGCACTTCTGCTCCACGCCTCTGGAGTAGTGCCACCATGGAGGACGGAATTTAAGACGTATTTATAATGATTTCTTATATTTACGCGAACACTACACATTGATTAATAAAACTACTTTTACGGATTTTATCGCGTTTAATTTAAACGTAAATATAAATATAAAAATAAATAAAATTAGAAATTTATAAAAATATACCACGTTTTTATAAACGGACAAAAAAGTACTTTATCTTTTTATATATAACTAAACAATCTGATTTAATACAATAAGTATTACTTGTGAGATAAATTGTGTTTTAATGCGATGGCCAAGTCAATTATTTTATTTAAAACATAAAAGATTAACATTAATATGGTCACTATAAGTTGATATGGTCACTATAAGATGTTGTTAGGTTAGCTTATTATTACATAATACTAACTAAACTTAAGTCAGAAGGACGCTTAAGTAAGTACTGTATAAATTAACCGATTTGGTATTACATGGATCCCACAACTTTTTACGGTAGAAGAACTGAGTTTCGAGACTTGTTTTTTTTTTACAAATAATGTTTTAGTTGGCATTTTGGTTTCCTCATCAGCGAGTCTCTTTTACTAATATTTGACACACTCCATACACAAATGTTAGATATCTTCTAAAATCCTCTACGCAGTTAGGGGGAATCAGCTGTATTCATCGATAGTGTCCCGAGCGAAGTATAAAAAGCTAACCTTCAATCATTTCTACTTAACCTTAGATCGTTAAGCCACGGGACTCGAAGACGTTGATTCTCTTTTCTTTTTCTTTTATAGAATAGGATGACAAACGAGCACACAGTCCACGTGATGGTAAGTGGATGCTGTCGCCCATAGACATCTACATTTATCCTCGATTAAGAATTGAAATGCAGATGTGTTGTCACCAGTGAGGACTAAGATGGAATTCCTCGGTTCCAGTAAAAAGGGTCTCCGGATCTCTACACTCACCATACGAAACACAGCAACATTAAGCAGCTATTTTATGTTGGTATTCTGTGAGAGCGTGGTCCTTCCCCGGTCGAGCCGACCCAGTAGTGCTACAACCATAATATAGCTGTAGCGTGACTCTACCACCTAATATAACATCTACATTTACATTTCTATATTTCGAACACTCCTCTTCCCCCTGCGACTCCACATCGGCCAACACCAACACACATCTTGAGCCGGCCCTTAACCTCGGGTCCCCTTCGTTCGCCTTTCACGAAAGGCGGAAACCCATCCGTTGTCCTGGCCTGTCTGTGACACTAGTTGACTGTCTAGTGTTAGTGACATTTGAGTCGTCGGAAGGGAGCGAATTATGACACTAGTTATGCTACTTTCGCTTTTATGACACAACACTATTCGATTCGAAACCAACCAATGACCGGAAGTAACGACTCTATGACCTCGTAGGGAAACGCAACCCATACTAAGCTAAAAGTTCGTGTTTGGTCACGCTTAAGGTGGGGTTTCAATGTGTAGATTGTTCTATTTTTAAAAATTTAAATGACAAATGTTACGATATTTAGCGAAAGTATTAAGTAACAGTAACAGGTATTTTTCAAATATGTTTAAAATATTTGGTTGCATTATTTAAAAAATAATTTTTATCAATAAATAAAAATTTAAACAAACAAAAAGAAAATTAAGTAACTTTGCGTTTGCTCTGACTTCAAAAGCTATTAAATTATGTGGAATATATTTTTTTGTTGTTTGAGAGCGATTGTTAATTATTATTTAAGCTGTCGCATTATACCTTTTGGGAAGAGAGCCTACGTTCGGCCGTGAGAGCAATGCAAACTTAATTAACAATACCACGGTAATATTATCTATACAGTATTGTAACTCGGCCGTGTGTCTTTCAAATAAATGCCTACAACCGCGCGGTACGTAAACATGTGATAAGGCTGCCTGCCTCCAGCATTTTTACATTTGCCTACTTTGTTTTCCATTTAGTTTTATGATTGTAAATATACTTTTTTATATAAACAAATAAAATAGGTATTTCGTGAATTGAATAGGAAGTGTTTAATAAAAATGCGTGTCGTTTTTTGATTGGTAGATTTAATTAAAAAACCATGTTTATGTTTGAATAACAAATCGGTTAAATAATTTTGCGACCGAAAAATATTTGCGCCTCGGCTGAGACTTACGAAATGCTTTATTACTAGATTTTTAAATATAAAAAATTCGCTTTCTAATATAAAGCTAAAAATAATATAAATTAAAAATTGTTTTGGGAAACATGGACAACGTGGAGAAAAGGAATATCTTTTAATTGGTTATAGATATCTGCAGCTACTTTACAATTTATATGTTTGTTTTTAAATGAAGTTCAGATTTATTATTTCTTTATTTCTATTCTATTATTTATTTCCTCCATTTTTTTATATATTTCGCAAAATCATCACTGCGGCACAGTCTCGACTGACTGACATAGCTCTCGCTTCGTCCGTTTGCATGAAGTTGGAATACTGTATAGATAATATTACCGTGACAATACGAAGCTATAGGGGTTTCTTGTTGACTACGGAACCCTAAAAAAAAAGAACTTCACAATGAGTAATGTGTATAATATTATGTTAACTTACAAGCGAATTGCAGTAAAATGTTGTGGATGATGAGGCAAAAAACTTATTACGTTGGTGCAGAGTATTAGCGGACTGACAAGCGGAAGCGGGAAATTTACATCGCATTAATAATAAAATGTATACAACCACTTTGCAGAGACTATACGCTTCGCTATAATATGCTAATTAAAAATACAAACAAATGCGGTTGTTTTTAATTAATATACGGAATAGATGCAGTTTCACCCGTGACATACTAGGCTCGGCTGGTTTGGCAACAGTGGCAACTTTTTTTTGTTATTTTTTTTATAATTATATTTATTCATAGGTAGGTAGCGGAATACAAATAAAAACACAAATTCTAATACGAAATTACCAAACCAAAACTTTTAATATCTATATACATAACGTAAAGTAAAGTTACAGCCTATATACGTCCCACGGCTGGGCACAGGCCTTCCCTCATTTCTGAGGTCTGAAGGGGTTTTAGGGCAAGGTAGTGTCCGCCGCGTTGCCCCAATGCGTGTTGGCGAACTACACATGTCTTGGAAATATATTTTTTTTTCTTATTCCTCAGACATGCAGGTTTCCTCACGATGTTTTCCTTCATCGCCGAGAACGTGATATATCAGCACTTAAAATTGCAATTAACAATTTCATTGGTGCCGCCGGGGATCGAACCCAGGTATTCTGTTATATTTACAGCGAGCGTTAACCATCTGAGCTACCACGGCTTCTATATACATATAAATACTGTCGGTTAGTCTCGCTAACACTCAAAAACGTCTCGTACGATTTTGATGAATTTTTGTGTGTGCATTTGAGTGAGTTCCTGGAGGATCTAAACGGTTCATATACGATCTTATAGGTGGCGCTGTTGTCGAAATCCAGAAATCACCCGTGCGAAGCCGGGAGGGTCGCAGATAATTTATACTGGTTGATCTTTTTTACCGTCTGGAAAAAAATGAGGTGTAACAGGTGAACGGAATAGAAGCCTTTTATAATAATTAATAACTAAACTTTGGTTTAGTATTGACAATGTTTTCTTCTTAGGTTCCTATTACGTAGTTTTTTTTTATTTTATACTAGCGACATGCCCCAGCTTTGCCTAGATAGCTTCCATTATTGTGGCATTGTTTCAAAATAATAAGATTAGTAATTTTAAAAAAGTTTTCGTTTTTACAAAATAAAAGGCACTAAGTTTTTCAGTTTTACTGGTATTGCTCTCCATCTGTTTGTTAGGGGATGTTCCGAAATACAACGCAGTGTACTGTCCAATGCAAATGACGTCATGAATCGACGCTATACTGGTGATACGTTCCAAAACATTGGACAGTATATGACATCATACTTTTGCGCCATTTGGAAATGTGTTGACGATTATTTTGTCATTTTGTGCTCCAAAAATCATTATATCCTACTAATGAATATACCATCAATTATTCTATAATTTTTTGTATTTGAATAAATAGAAACATATTCTGGCATGCTTCATTCGGCAAACACACAATTAAAAATTGTTTTATTATGGCCGGATATCCGACACAATATGGCGGCGGCACGCTAGTACAATAAAGTGTCAAATGATACGTCATTTGCATTGGACAGTACACTGCGTTGTATTTCGGAACATACCCTAAGTCTCATCACAATCGATTCAGCCATTCCGTAAATTAGCCCGGATAAATTAGACAGACAATAAGTTTCAAAATGGTTATTTCTGTCTTATTAGCATTTAAATAACCCCTTGAGCTTAATAAAAGCCAATTGGAATGTTATTTATATGTACGTATAGAATAACTAATTTGGGTTGTAGTGTAGCCCCCACTACAATTTATATTAGTGTTTACTAGGAATAACGACGAGCATGTATGCGTAGGTGTATGGATGTGAAGGAGACGAGAGAGGTGTGTCAGGATCGTGCCAAATGGAAGTCTGTAGTCTCTGCCTACCCGTCTGGGTGACAGGCGTGAGTGTTTATGATAAGGCAGTAAAATTAAAGTCTTAAACTGGGCAACACGTCTCCTTTTTATTGTACACCATCCAACATTACATAGCGACCCTGTCAGGCGGTGCGCTGCTACACCGTGCAACATTACATAGCCATGTTGTTGATTGATACACGAGTAAACTGTAGTACTTATAGGTGAATTCAATTTCAATTAACATAATATGTAGAAATTAAGATGTCGATACAAAAGATAATAGAAAGTATGGGAAGCGTTCGTTTTACGTTAGTGTTGAATATAGAGTGTCGCCCCCGGAGCTCACGCGGATCTCGCCAGCGGTCAAAACTATGGGTCAAAACGACGTTCAAGGCACAAGACGTCTCAAATGCGCGGGTGCAGGCACAGTGTGACGTCTTCCTATGATCTTAACAAGACGTCGCGAACAGTGATGTAATGTTGGACGGTGTTCAATAAAAAGGAGACGTGTTGCTCAGTTTAAGACTTTAATTATACTGCATTGTTCCCAATTAAAAACTAATATAAATTGCCGTGGGCGCTACACTACAGGGATAACAAACAACAAAATACTAATACATGTATTATTAAAACTTTATTACCTATGCAACCAACACCGTTAAACACAACTTACTGGATATATGTTATGTACAGGGTAGCATTATTTACTTATTAATTTGTAAAATACATATACTGAGATAAATTAAATATTTTTACACAATAAAATAGTATACAACGCGGTTGTTAGTAATAAATAATATAAATAATTTAAAAAAAAACAATATAAGTATGTGCTCAATGGATTATTCACAGCGGATTATATCAAAAACAAGCCTACGATCGGTGCGGACCTAAGTTATATTACCTGGCCACTGCTTCTTGGATCCTTGGTTCGAATCACAGCCGGAGACAACACCTGTACAAAAACACATATTGTTGGTTTTCTAGTGGGATACGTTATATTTTGTAGATAGAATCTGGTGACAAACGGGAACACGTCCACCTGTTTATAAAAGAATCCCGTGGCCTACAGACATTTACAATCTATACTTAATTAACGATCGAAATGTCGAACATTGTTATCCCTGAGGACTAACATGGAATGCCTCGTTTTCAGTAAAAAGGGCCTCCAGTTTTCTATGCTACCCAACGAAACACTGTAGTATTCGGCCCGGTTTACATTTTGTGAAGTGACAAGTGCGAGTGCCAAGTGCAACTGATAAATGACAAGTACTTAGTGCGTATTTTATTCGCACTAATTACTTGTCACTGCTTGTTCACACGCACTAAGCACTTGTTTTTTTGTCAGTTGTATGCCCTGCATGTTAAGGGTAGCCCGGTTTATATTTTGAGAAGTGACAAGTGCGAGTGACAATGACAAGTGGCAAATGACAAGTGCTTAGTGCGTGTGAACAGGCAGTGACAAGTGCGACTGACAAGTGATAAGTGCGAAATGAAAAGTAACAAGTGAATAGCGGCCTGCTCTATTCCCTGACAAGTATCTCTGCCCCGCGCTAACCTTGCTTTCCCCTCAGTCACCCACCGCCACCCCCGTTCTAGCGGCGACGTCAGAACATATTAAAATAAAATATTTTTGTTATACAGAATGGGTCCCACATATATGCAATAAATGAAACCATATACTTGTTATCGCCTTTGCTGACGATATACAAAAAATGAACGTAATCGGTCCAGTAATTAGGTCAAAAAGTAGAGTTTTAATTTTAAGCAAATTTGAACACTATAGAATTGGGTCACTAAGTCAATGATTCAATGAACTTGAATCCTTGAACATTAAAAAGCGACGTTGCCACGCAGTGCAAACTATTGGTATTGCAACATATCGACAGCGGTGTCTTTTGTCGGCGTGCCACCCGCGTGCAACGTTGTCACTCTTCCAAGGGGTCAAGGTACGTTATCTAAACAGAGTGTTCACTTTTACTGAATTTATTTTAATGTTTATTTTGTTTGAAAATTTCACTTTTTTATTTTACGGGTTTTAATTTAATATTTAATTTTTCTACACTTCTACGGACTAGTATTACTTGTGGTTTCATTTATTGCATATATGTGGGACCCATTCTGTATATATTGTATACATACTCGTATTTATAATAATTTTGTTTCATTACGAAGTGGTCAGATAGCAATAACATTAAATTTGTCAAGGAATTATTGACACACGAATGTTTATACAATATTAAATCGTTGAATTTAAAAAAAATAAAATGATGCGAGGCGCTGCTATGCCCTCAATATCTCAATCAATGGGAATGGCCGGTTTCGGCGCAAAAGAAGTAGGTATATGCGAAGTTAAGAAGCATTAAGTCTACATATTACCAATAAAAGAAGAAAATTAAAGGCTCCTGTGGGTCAGAGACTGGAGCCATATTATTTTCAGGCTTAAATTTTTTCCTTGTTATTGCTTGGCGTATTTTTCTCACTTAAGCGTTATTAGGAAATTGGTGTGCACCAATATCTTTGCAATAAGGCACTTCACACATCGTTGGTATCTCATCATACAATTTTACCTTGTTTTTATTAAAGTTTTAAACTTTAAAGCTATGCTAGCGCCTCTTTGACAATTACCTACCCAATTTCACACTCGCAGATTTCACATAATAATGACATCCACTTGCCACATGTGTAAACACCAACTTGCTATTTGTCACTTGTCATTTGTCACTTGTCATTGCCGCTCGCACTTGTCACTTCTCAAAATGTAAACCGGGCTTTAGCGCTCTTAGCACTAGCGGTTAACCGCTTTTCCAGTTTTAATATGCAACCGCTTGTGATCGTACGCACTTAAGCGGGCTACATACGAGACGATATCGGTGGCGATCTAGGGTGGAAAGAAATCGGGGCTTTTATCGGGGCAGACCCTACACACGGGCCTGCATAGCAGTACGCGTTCGGACTTGGAGCGGAACGCATATGCGGTAGATTTCTTCAAAATAGCTTCAATTCTCTTAAAACACCAACGTGTTGGTTTGGCATTAGCCCTCTCGGTTAATTTATTCGAAAATAGAAAAAGAGGAGTTGCTGGGTGAAAAAATGGCTCTGGTGAATAAACGTACTAAATGATCTGTAATCCAAAGACATGATAAATTTTCTCCGGATGGATGAAGCCAGTTTGTACAACCATCTAGAAAAATGATTTCGCCACTTATATAAAAACATCAATTTCTCCTACCTATGCTATTTAGTTATTTCTTCTCTTTGTTCATTTCTGCTTTGGTCAAAATCGGGTTATGTACTACACACAACAAACAAAGAAATAAAATACTTTTGTATAGGTAATAATATGTAATGTGTACTTTTATTTTTTTAATGTAATCTTTATTTGTGGACTAAAACTTTAAAAAAATAAAATAGGTTTTTTTTAAAATTATAATATATATTTTTTTAATATAAAGAAACCTTTAATTTCGGACATACTCCCTTCTAAAAAGCTTGTTTATTGATGTGGAGATGGTATAGGAATAAAAGTTAGTTGTTGATGAGAGGATGAAGGCACGTAAGAGATCGAAGTGTGGTCTTGTGGAGTTGTAAGAGATATGAGTGCAGTCTTGTGTTGATAGCGTTGGAATAGGAGTTCTTCATACACCCTACTTTACGAACGGCAATAAAACAATTAGTTTAGTAGGCATTCTTGACCATGTCACTTCGCAGGGTCACAGGCTAGGGTGGATATGATTTGAATTTCGATAGATTTTTTTTTGTTTTTTGCAAAATATCAGTGCCATAGCCTCCTACTCCGTTCACATGATTAAAATATAAAAGTTTTGTTATGTAAAAAAGGTCATTCAGTATCACTGTTTTGTTAACGTCCTTCCGCGAGGGCTGCCGGCAGCGACTGCCAAAAGAAATCAGGCCGATGCGCCTACACACACGCAGTACGGAGGGGGCGGGGCCCCGATCTAGGAAGCATCGGCTGCACTTTTGCTCCTGCCAGCCGATTAAGGAGGCGATATCGGCCACGACTTAGGATGCCCTACATACGACACGATTTAGAGGCAATCTAGGAGGCATCCCCACTACTTCACCCTAGATCGCCACCGATATCATGTCGTATGTAGCCCGCTTTAACCGCCCCAAAATTTCAACCGCCATTTTGTATATACGCACTGGCAGTTTAGTTTGCGTCCAGCCGCCGATGTGTTTGTACGCGTTTCGAGTTTGAGTTGCGCAGCCATGAACTTGGATACAGAGAAATTCATTGTTGAAATTCAACAACGAAAAGCTATTTGGAATTGTGAAGTAGCATCATATAAGAATAGAGATTTAAAAAGGAAACAACGTAAAGGATGAATCCAGTATCTTTTGTTACTTTTCTCCTTTCGTTGTTTTCGGGAGTAAAATTAGATAGCAAAAGCTACCCCGGCGGTGTCCATTTTGTTTATGCCCCAACAAGCCTATTGAGTGATATAACCGCTTATCGACGTTTCATCGCGGTTAGCCGCCATAGCGGTCAGCCGATATTCAAACCGCGTCAGGCGGCTGGTCGCTCATTTGTTACTTTTCTCCTTTCGTTGTTTTCGGGAGTAAAATTAGATAGCAAAAGCTACCCCGGCGGTGTCCATTTTGTTTATGCCCCAACAAGCCTATTGAGTGATATAACCGCTTATCGACGTTTCTTCGCGGTTAGCCGCCATAGCGGTCAGCCGATATTCAAACCGCGTCAGGCGGCTGGCCGCTCAAACGAACCGCCTAAGCCCTAGGCGGCCAACCGCTTGTGCGTAAGGGGCCTTATGCTGGTATTTTACGCTGGTGTGTGTAATGTGTATTACCAGCGTCATAAACACTGCATTATAGTTTCACTCTGATTTCACAGACGGGTCAGAGTTATAATGTATCTCCGTGCTTGCGTACATTTGTGTCATTTAATGTTACTGTTAACACCTTCAGCTTTAAACGATCATTGTTGGTCCGATCTATAACAGTATCATGAAGCTTTGCTAAAGTTTTTAGTATAGCTTGTTTTACATTAGTTTCGCTACTGGGAAGAGATCTCTCGTTTCAGAGTGGTTTACGGAGCGGGTAGAATGCGCCGCAAAGGTTAGATGTACGTATTCTTAAGATGTTTTACTTCATCGTCAGGCACGTGTCACATTAAAATTTTATCAGGTTTAAAGATTCAAGTGTAACTTGTCAGTGAGCAGAGCAGCTAAGTTTTTTTATTATAGAATAAGAGTGACAAGCGAGCACACAGTCCACCTGTTGGCAATTGGATGCTGTGGCCCATACACATCTACATTTATCCTCGATTAAGAATCAAAACACAGGAGCGTTCTCACCCCTGAGTACCAAGATGGAATGCCTCGTTTCCAGTAAAAAAAGGGGTCTCTGGATCTCTACACTCACCATACGAAACACAGCAGTATTACGCCGCTATTTCACGCTGGTATTCTGTGAGAGCGTGGTCCTTCCCCGGTCGAGCTGACCCATTCGTGCTACAACCATGATATAGCTGCAACCGGGGCTCTACCGCATTTATTCGTTTAAAGTTTAATTTAATAATTTTATAAAATAAGTTTTGTTTTAATTTACCCGTGAGCCGTGGTAGCTCAGATGGTTAACGATCGCAGTAAATATAACAGAACGCGAGTAACCCGGGTTCGAGCGCCGCCGGCACCAATGAAATTGTTAATTGCAATTTTAAGTGCTGATTTACCACGTGCTCGGCGGTGAAGGAAAACATCGTGAGGAAACCTGCATGTCTGAGGAATAAGAAAAAAAATATTTCGAAGACATGTGAAGTTCGCCAACACGCATTGCGGCAGCGCGGCGGACACATCCTTGCCCTAAAACACACTCAGAAATGAGGGGAGGCCTGTGCCCAGCAGTGGGACGTATATAGGCTGTAACTTTACTTACTTTTAATTTACCCATACCTATGATTAATGCCGGTACGCGTTTAATAGGTATGCATATAAGAACATGACAATAATTTAGACGACTTATGTATATAGTCACACATATGTAGTACTGTTGATGTACCTTATAAATCATCATCATCATCATCATCACAGCCCTTCACAAGTCCACTGCTGAACATAGATCTTTCCCAAGGAATGCTACAAAGCACAGTCCTGAGCCACCTGCATCCTTATAAATAAATAAAATAAATTAAATATCCGCCACCTCTTATATACCCGCTGACAAAATCACCACTCCTCACTAACAAGGTCAATCGTTTCTAAGAGGCACAATAATGTTGCGTAATTTAAACAATTTATAACAAAAACGGTTTTATGCAACACTGATGTTTTTAAAAGTGGTTTTTAAGTAGTATATTTATCATATTTTTTAATTAGATTTAGATACTAGATGAAGAGTCGTGGTTGCTCAGATGGTTAGCGCTCGCTGTAAATATAACAGAACGCGAGCAACCCGGGTTCGATCCCCGCCGGCACCAATGAAATTGTTAATTGCAATTTTAAGTGCTGATATACCACATGCTCGGCTGTGAAGGAAAACATCGTGAGGAAACCTGCATGTTTGAGGAATAAGAAAAAAATATTTCGAAGACATGTGAAGTTCGCCAACACGCATTGGGGCAGCGCGGCGGACACTTCCTTGCCCTAAAACCCCCTCAGAAATGAGGGGAGGCCTGTGCCCAGCAGTGGGACGTATATAGGCTGTAACTTTACTTACTTTTAATTTACCCATACCTATGATTAATGCCGGTACGTGTTTAATAGGTATGCATATAAGAACAACACGCATTGGGGCAGCGCGGCGGACACTTCCTTGCCTTAAAACCCTCTCAGAAATGAGGGGAAGCCTGTGACCAGCAGTGGGACGTATATAGGCTGTAACTTTACTTTACTTTTTACTTTACTAGATGGGTCACACAGCACAAACTGTCGACTCGCTTCAGCAAGGAACTCCGAGAGCAATATTCCTCTGCCGTTCTCATCATCACATCCCCACCATTGACTATTAAGCATTGCAGTCGCCTCCAATAACTATAAAAGGTGTATTCATATTGTTAATAATGGTACGCAATTGCTGTATGTAATTTTCGATGTCTTCATTCTTAATTTGGGGGGGGGGGAGGGTACTGATGTTTCGTGTATCGTTCAAGGTGGGTGGGGTATGGGGAGGGAGGTGTAGTTTGGAATTGGATTGAAATAAACATCTGTTTAGAGCCTCTTTTCTGCCTACAAGTCGTCCCGGGTGGAATACCACCTCTCTCACCAATCACTGACGATATACTGTTACGTTCTGGTTATTTTACGTCTGGCATAAGCGAGATGTTACCGTGTATTGACGGCAAGAATACCCACTAGCCCATGCATCCCTTGCGTGTTATAGGAGGCGACAGAGGGAAACAGAAACAGGATAGGCAGCAGCGTCTTGCTGATAACAATTCAAAATTAAAAAAAAACAACGGGTTGTACTCCGGGAGTGCCGGCAGAAGTGAAAACTTGAATATTAACGTTGTGCATTTTTGATATTTTGGAATGGTTAGGGAATAATTTTGCATGAATTTCTTTAATTATCAGTATGAAAGTACCTACTATCATTTATGTGGTAAAATACGATATTTATTTATTGCGTTATCGTACACAAACATGACAATTTATATTACATTAAAAAGTTTATCTTCTCCTTCGCCGCACCGGCTTTCTACTCCCCCCATCCGTCTTACGAATTTTCGATCAGGTCACGTGTCCTGATCGAAAATTCTAAGTCTCATTACAAAAAAAGTGTACAACGACGCTAAAGAAGTTTTCACTTCAAAAAAATGAAATTGACAAATATCCCCGTAAGGCAATTTATGGGGGAGCCCTATGTTCAGTATTGGACTTTTTTATATAAAGAATTAGGGTGACAAACGAACACACAGTCCACCTGACGGTAAGTGGATACTGTAGCCCATAGACATCTACATCTATCCTCGATTAAGAATCAAAATGCAGATGCATTGTCACCCGTGACGACTAAGATGGAATGCCTCGTTTCCAGTAAAAAGGGTCACCGGTTCTCTACACTCACCATACGAAACACAGCAGCATCAAGGTGCTATTTTGCTGGTATTCTGTGAGTGCCCCAGTCGAGCCGACCTTTCGTGCTACATCCAAATATAGCTGCTGCATGGCTCTACCACGTATCGTATATTTTACAGCGTGTAATGGATGAATGGATCAGCGATCTGTCGAACATCATATCTTTCTGGCATTTACTATACTTGCCCGGTATCATAGTATCATATTGGTATCAATAGCATGGATCATCTAACGCCGCTACTTAGCGGTAGAACATAGTGAACAGTAGTAATATACCACTAAGTTACAACCTATATTCGTCCCACTGCTGGGTTCAGGCCTCTTGTCATTCCTCAGAGTTTTAGGGCAAGGAAATATCTGCCACACTGTCCCAATGCGTGTTCGCGAACTTCACATGTCTTCGAAATGTTTTTTTTACTTCTCAGACATGTAGGTTTCCTCACGATGTTTTCCTTTACCGCCGATCACGTTAGTCCAGGAGGAATCGGTGCATGAGTACCATAAAATATTACACCTCAATTTTTTTATTGTGATTCTCTGATGATATAAATGCATGTTGTCATGTGGCAACTCGGTGCCTATAATATTATAAAACCGATTTTTTTTTCAATTGCAAGAAATTGTTATTTTCAAACGGGACATTTTATTAACAATTTTTTTAAATACGAATAAAAAGGTTCTATTATGACTTTTTACGATAAAGTTATGAATTTTTAAATGTTTGAAAGATCCCAAATTCAGATGGGTACTTTGGAGTCATAAGTTTTGACCCATTGAAATATACTTCTAAAGAAAAATATTAAAATATAAAAGACATTTTTTTATATTTTCCGATGAAATACGAATAAAAAAGGTCCTATGGTTTTTTTACAATAAAGTTAATATTTTCGGAATTATTGATTTTTAAATGTTTGAAAAATCCCAAATTCAGATACTTTTGACTCATTATAAATATATACCTCATTACTAAGTGGTAAATCAGCACTTAAAATTGCAATTAACAATTTTATTGGTGCCGTGGGATCAAACCCGAGTTGTTCGCGTACTGTGAAAATTACAGCGAGCACTGAGCCTTTGAGCTGCCTCGGCTCTATATACCGGTTACCAGAAATATATTAGCCTAAGGACGACCTTCCGTATGGTATTAATCACTTAAATAAGGTTTTATAATCTCATAAGGCTCATTTTCGGTTTACGTAAGTATGACCACGATAATATGTCCTATCGTTCAAAGCTTAAATGGCTTCATATCGTCAGAGGCGTAGTTTCAGGATTTTACCAGTTCTTTAATTAATCTTCAAACAAATGGTTCAATTTAAAACATTGTACAACCGTCTTTAATAAAAATAAAATGAGATTATCATCAATATAGTAGAAGTAAAACTATAAAAACCCACGAAATCCAATCGTAACGAATGCCACGCGGACGATATGGCGGGAATCGGGCTAGTTTAAAAAAAATACAGCCCTGTCTGTGCCCAGGGAAGTCTGCAGTCTGCGAACATGTTCAAGATCGTCCCCACCATTACATTACATTTGATAAACCAAAAATCCTCGCAAAAGAACATCGATTCCGACCAAGTATGATACGCGAGGCTATTGAAATTAAAAAACATCCAAATTTCAATAGAGAAGATGGATGGGTGCTGCCACCTGCTTGGGATCCTATAATTTACAAAATTAAACATAAACTCAAGTATACCACTGCAAGACTTCAAGATACTGTAAGCACGTTTTGCGTAAATCGGACCAAAAATTAATATTCAAAAACTGAAGGTAGCCGGACTAACTATGACATTGAGGCGTCAAAAATCTCAGCCCTCTCCCCCTCCCCCCGTGACCATGGGTGCTGTGAAGCACCCGAAACGTCGGGATAATAAAAATAAGTTAAAGCAGAGTAATTAAACGCGATAAAATCTGTAAATAATAGTTTTATTCAATTTACAGCCCTATCACGGTGGCAACAGCACGCGTATGTAAATTACAATGCACAGCTTATGAAATCATGTTTTTATTATCTAATCAATAATCGCACGATAAGTGAAAAAGGAATTAAAATATTATTTGGAAACATACTGCAAGCTCCAAGCCAGGGGATAATTTGTATAACAAGTTAATGGCGTATTTGAGAAGTGGTCACTGATTTTGTATTGTTCATGAAAGTTTCTTACGCGGAGATTTAAAAATAGAGAAAGTTAAAAATAAACAAGTGAAATAAAAAAAAATGCCACGTGTTTTTATCATTGTCATTCGAGTTCTAAATTTAAAATATGAAAGCCTTGATACGCCTTTTTACAGATACGATACCGATACTCTTATAAAATCTGATACCGAACATCATCATCATCATCATTACAGCCCTTCACAACTCCACTGCTGAACATAGACCTCCCCCAAGAAATGCCACAAAGCAGTTCCCGTGTAGTGGCGTGTAAGAATACCCACTGCCCCATATCTTCCCGTGGGTGTCGAAGAGGCGACAGAGGGACACAGGCAGGAGATGGGCAGCAGCATCTTCCTGATAACAGCAACTGTACGACAAAAAAAAATTGGGGTGCCAACCCGCTCGCCTAGCTTGGCAACTATGGCAATATACCCCCCCCCCATGAGAAACGACACAAAAAAAAACGGATACTGATACCATAGAATACTATAATACACAATAGAATGGCTGTCAACTTTATTTTGTACGAGGCTTGGCGTCGCCAAACCCGATTCGCTGTGTTGACAGACTGAATAAATTTACACATTTTAGACTTTTGGTTAATGTTCAAGATCATCATTAAAAAATCGTTTAAATTTTAATACATATTTATTTGTACATAGGGTGCAATTTAGCATTTTCTAAATAATTTGCATGCGAGATTTGGAAACGATTGTAACGGTAAAAACACATCTCGAGTTGACATTTATATGTGTGAATTGACGTGTTAGTGGCATTTTAGTGGCTACACGAGCTCCGCCCACTCCCCCGTTATATTATGTATGTATTATATAGTATTTTTTGACTGATACGCTTATTGAATTCAAAAATAAAGGTAAAATAAATAAAACAAAGTCAGGTCATTCTTTAATTAATATAAAAATAACAGATAACTGGACAAACTAAATAAAACAGTTCAAAACTATAGACAGTTTCGTTTGCAACGAAATAGACAAGACAACACGCGCGTTTACATTACATTTGCGAAGCGCGAAATTTGAAAAGTATCGTTGAATCGCCTATAAAAATATCGCCGATGCCGATATATCGGCAAACTTCGAGTATCACCGATATATCGATACCGGTATCGGTATCGGACGCATACCCTTATTCAAAATGTGTCCAGCTCATCGGGAAGTAAGTTTGAAATTAACTACCGAATTCCACCGACAACCGAAACGATATCCGGATCGGCGGACAAACAACAAAGTGATTTAATAAAAACGCTGTAAAAGTAGGTAGGGAGGTCCACACTACAAATTCTCCATTAGGAAACTACTGATAAAGGGAAAGCTGGAATACCAAATAGGAAAATAGGATTACCTTCACTTTTTAATTATTTTTATTTAAAAAAAATGTTAAAGTTACGGCCTGTATACGTCTCACTCCGGGGCACAGGCTTCCGCTCATATTTGAGAGGGTTTTAGGACAAGGAATTGACCGCCGCGCTGCTCTAATGCATGTTGGCGAACTTCACGTCTTCGAAATATTTTTTTTCTTATTTCTCAGACATGCTGGTTTCCTCACGATGTTTCACTTCACCGACGAGCAAGTGGTAAATCAGCACTTAAAATTGCAATTAACAATTTCATTGGTACTATGGCTCTTAATTACACAAATAAAAAAAATGCTCTGACCAATCTCAAAACCTGCTTTAGTAACTTGTAGTAGTTGATTATCAATTACCAAATTCGGCTAGTATGTAATTTCTAACGTTATTGATAAAAACTTGATA